TTTAAGGAGACACTAATGAAGTGATATCTGGTTTTTCTTTAACATCATAAGCCAAACTACTAATCCATGCTACAAATAAAGACATTTGTGGGGGTTTTTTAATAACCAGTAATGCCAGAGAGTTTAGTTCTTAGACCAACTAGAAGTTACCCCCAAGACTACAAAACTTAAAAACCACTTCAGTAGTACAGAGAAACAGGTCTTATCACATAGAAGGCAAAATAAGGCACAAAGGAGTTAAGCAATTCATAAGCAATCACCATGAATAAAATCTACTTTTTGGATCTCTCCAATAAAACACCCTGTGTGTCTTGCAGAATTTTTACATATAAATATAATGTGTGGGTATGTGAGTGAGTGAGTGAGTGTGTGTGTGTGTGTGTGTGTGTGTGCGTGCGCGCACATGCACCTGGATTTTTCCAAGAGTTTAAATTAATCCACATGGTGCTATTGGGAGGTAGTGATCCTTGATGAACAAACAGATGTGTAAAAAGGCAAACATGTGGAGTAATTCTTTTTTGGTTGCTCAGAAGAATCAGTAGCAGGGCCCCGATTAAAAATCAGAAGTTCCAGCCTGTCAGACCTGACTCCAAGTTCACAGGCTCAAAACCCTAAGGCTAAATACACACTAACAAGAGAAAAACATCACCCTGAGTAAGAAGTCTTCAGCATAATTCGTATTAGTGAACTATTTCACCACCACAACTAACACACATTAAATCACCCCTATAAATGAGAGACAAATTTTGTTCTTCCACCATAGCAAAACCATAAAGCAATAACTTCTGCAAATCACAGTTCTCTATAAACTAATTTAATCAAAAGTCATGAAATCACAACATACCCAAATAAGTTTTACTGAAGGGCACACAGCAGCAACATTCATCAGCACTATGTACTACTTAGGGAATTCTGAGTGAAGCATTAAGTTGAACTTGTTGTGTAAAGGTAGCTTTCTGAATGAAATTTATTTCGTAAAGGAATATGTTTGGCAACTTGCCTATGAAGAAGGCTGCTTGCTGTAGTAGAAAAAGCACAGGAGAATGGAATCAAAGGTCTTGTGTTCAAATTCCAACTCTACTCCTTACTAGTTGTGTGACAATAAATAAATCACTTACCTTCTCTCAGTCTTGGTTTCCTCTTTTCCAAAAAGAAGGGGACAGATGAGAATCAACACTTTAGAGCGATAACATCCTCAGAGTCATCCAGTCCCATTCTCTCATTTTACACATGAAAAACTTGAGGCTCAGAGGAACTAAGTGACTTACTTAAGGTCATGCAGGAAGTCAAGAGGCAAATCTGGAATCCAAGGTCAGATTCTGCACCCTGAGGTCAGGTGCAGGTTGTCCTGACCAGGTGGTCTTTAAGATGCCTCCCAGCTCTGTATCCTCTTATCCCACCACTGTATCGGTGAGGTTAGAACAGGAGTTTTCAAACAAGAAATCGGGCCCTACTAACACATGTGGATGCCAAACCCGACAACTTCCCAAATGAGTATATTCCTCCTCCTTTTGCCCCCCATGCCTCGTCAGTTTTCTGGCAAGGACATTGGGAAGTGGCAACACCTCCCCTTACATGCTTAGGATCAACCCTGTTAGCATATATCCAACTCCAAGCGATCTCCAAGAAGTAAAAACTACTTTTCCTCACCAAAAGGGGGCAGTGAGTCACTCAACAAGTATTTATTAAATCACTTACCCTGTGCCAGGCATTGTGCTTGGGATACAAAAAAAGGCAAAAATATGGTCCTTGCCCTCAAAAAGCTCATAGTCTAATGAGGGAGACAAGATTCAAGTAACTATGTGCCTACAAGACAAACAGACAGAGAGAGGTAATCTCATAAGGAAGCACTGGTGATGTAGAAGTGGAGGAATTAGGAAAAGTTCCCATTGAATTATTGGAAATTCAGAGTTAAAGGATGAGTTTCTATAAAACAAATCCTTGCCCAGACTTGGGAAAACTGATTTCCTCTCCACTTCACAGAGGGTAATTAATTTCTCATCAATGGAGCTATAATAGAGGCTAAAAGACCATTTTTTGGAGGAAGACATTAATGGGATTCAGGACTTCTGAGACTCCCTTTTCAATTCTACAGTTTTTATGCCAGGACAGGACTCAACTGGCACAAAGACTGAGTGTATGTAGAAATAAGGAACTGGCTACCAAGGAAGGTTATGATCCTATCCTTGAAGATTTTTAAAAATGGGATAGAAACCATGTGTCTCAGATGGTTTAGGTGTTCACTTGTCTACAAGCTCAGAAAACCTTACAGATTCCCTTCAACTCTAAAAAGCTTTGTAAAGACTTCAGCTATAGATATATATGTATTGTAAATAATAAAAATAATGATATATTCATATGGTGCTTTAAGGTTTACAATTATTTTATTTTACTCTTAGAACAACCCTAGGAGGTAGGTGCTATTATTATCCCCATTTTAGAGACAAGGAAGTTTAGGCAGAGAGAGGTTAAGTGATTTGCCCAGGATTTCACAGCTAGTAGGTATGTGACACCAGATTTACACTCAGGTCTTCCTGACTCCAGGCCCAGTATTCTATCCATTGTACCACCGAGCTGCCTTAGACAGCTTTGTAAATATTAGTTACTGTCATTAGTATTATTCCAACTACATGAGTTGAAGAGGGCAAATCAAGAAAGTCAGTAAAACAACCAGGAATATAAGTCAGGAAGTCCGATCTCCCTCCATTTATCTGACTATTAGGCACATACATACATTTACCTGTGTGTGTACATATGTCTGTATATCTATATTTATATCCATATAGAATCACATAAAAATATATGCATATACATACATACACACATAATGGATTCTATAAAACATTTTGCTTTTTGAGGAAAGGCATTAAATTAGCTCTTAATCTCCTTCTCTATGTTCCTTTAAATTATTAAATTCATAATACACTTCTATAACATCCACTATAGCTAATTCAATCCAGGAACTCTATAAGCAGCCTCTCCCACTGTCCTTTAATTTTGGCGTTTTCCCTCTGATATTACCTCCAATATACTTTGTATGTCCATAATTTGCATGTTGTTCCCCGTTCCTCAACCCCATGAGAACATGAGCCCCTCGAGACTAGGGACTGCGTTTTTGCCTTTATTTTTTCAAAAATGCTTAGTGTTATACCTGACACATGGTAAGTGCTCAATAAATAATATCTAGTATTCTATAATGCTTTAAGGTTTGCAAAAAGCATTACAAATCTTATCTTCCAGGAGGTCAGTATCATAATATTATGTTCATTTTATAAATGAGAAAACTGAAGCAGCAAAGGTTAAATGACTTGGCCAAGGTCATACAACTAGTAAGTTTCTGGGGCATTATTTCAACCTAGGTCTTCCTAACTCTACCTACTGCGAAAGCTTGCTGATCTGTTGACAGGAACAATGAGTAGAAGCTACACAGAAGGAGGCTTTGCTTTCATAGAAGTAAAAAGTTCCTAATAATTAGAGTTGTCCAAAAGTGAAATGGGACATATCAGGATATAACAGTTCCCCACTCATCAAAGGTTACACTGTACAGTGTATTTTTAATTACCTAAGAGATGGAATACATGACCCTTCAGGTCCTTCCAATTCTGAGAATCAATTTAATTCTACCAATATTTATTAAGTACCTACAGCATTCAGAGCACTCTGCTCGTCACTGTAAATATGATATGGCTTCTACTTCTATGGAGTTAAATTCTAAGAAAGATAATTCAACGAAATAAACATTCATTTCATACTTATTGTGTGCAATACCCTTTACCAGGCATTGGTGGAAATCAAAAATACTTCCCAAAAAATATGTTTTTTTCACATATGATATTTCCTACAACACTTAGTCATGTGAATAAGAGGGCTCTATGTATTTGTTCAGGGTCTTTGGTCCATCATGAGGATGTTAGAAAGGGGAAACTTCCTCACATTTTCTAATGATTTGCCATGGCATCATGTGTCAGAATTTCACTAATTTCTAAAATAAGGATTTTTTTCTCCCTTCAACAATGATTTTGGAATATGACCAAGTTTGAGGTCCATCAAGGACACCATCAGTCTAAAACTGTCTGTGTTATCAATCAACATAACACTTTTTTCTCCATGATTTTTCCCTGAAAAATATCAACCCAAATAAGTCCTGAATGAGAAGCTGGGAAATACAGTTAAAAATAATTAAAACCCTAGCCCTCATGTTCTTGAAAGAGACATCTACCAAACCAGTCTTAAAGTAACATTGTAGGGGAAAATTTGCTGAAAGTTTATTTTCTATGAGTTTTTAAAACAGATCTGATTTTTAAAAATTCATCTGACCACTTAAAATATTTCAAACATCAATTAAATATGAGATTAGAAACCAAACAGTACTATTTAATAAAGCTAAAAGAAGGACCAGGGTTGTGTGTTCCAGAGAGTGTCTATGTAGATGACTAGGTTTTTTGCTTTTGCAAAGATATGACTACAAAGTTATTTACATGGCATGTTGATCAGGGTGGGGATTATGAGACTATAACTAGAAAATGTCATATGGAATCTAATGTTATGGATTAGCCTTGTTCATGGAACAGCCGGGAAGTCAGTGTCACTGGATCAAAGAGTACAGGTCTTGGAATAAGGTTTAAGAAGTCTAAAAAGGTAGAAGGAAGCTGAATTACAAAGGACTTTGAATGCCAAATAGAGATGCACTGATGGAAGAAGCACCCATACTGAAATACTAATTACAAAGCACCATGTAGGATAAAGAAAAAAATTTTGAGAATTCAATTTAGCAAAGAGCAAACATCCCAAATATAATATGCAATAAATTACTTCATTTAGACCACACAGATTCAAATGAAAATACATTAGCCATAATGGGGTGAGAAAGAGGAAACAATTTTTTCCCCTGGTTTTATTCTGCCTATTTACAGAAAGATGACTATATGGATTACAGAGGGAAGAAAAGGAAACTAATATATAAGTATGCTAGATAACTCTTCCTCTGTGTCTTCACTCACCTTTGTCCTGTAATGTAATTTGCTGCTTGTGTAGTAATGCCACTTCCCTCCCCAGGGCTTTCTTTTGTCTTTCCAGCTCATTCCGAAGAACCAAAAGTTTCAGCTGTAGGCACTCACTCTCCTTTTTCTAGAGAAAGGGAAAAAATGAGACCTTCAGCATTCATAAATATTTCAAAAAGTACTGTCAATGAATACTCAACAAACAACTAGGTTTCATTAAGCTTTAAAATCAAGAACAGTCTCTGCTCTCAATGAACTTATATTCTAATGGGAGCATCAGAAAATCTAAGTATGAATTCTGCTACTCCCTGCCTATTTAACTTTGGAAGGTTGTGTCTGCGCCATGATTTTCTTCTTCTCCACATGAAAAAGAAAAAGCTGAACTCGATGACCTCTGAAGTTCCTTCCAGTTTTAAAATCTAGGATGCTGTGAATCTAATTAGAAACAGAAATAACCTGTACTGAAAGGCCACTCTCTTTTGGGAGCCACAGATCCTTCAGAGACCCTCTGATGTTCACATTACAAAGCAGTGCCAAGTAGTGGGGGAAAAGCCCTGAACTTGTACTTGGAAGACTTGGTTTAAGTGTTAGTTGTATTCTCACTTGTTATGTGCCCTTGGGCAAGTCCTTTAACCTCTCTGAATTTCAGTCTCTTCTTCTATAAAATGGGAATAATAAGCTACCTGCTTCATATGGTAATTATGAGGAATAACTTGAGATCATTTATGTGAATGTCCTTTATAACATTAATATACTATATAAACAAAAGCTTTTATTGATTTTTTTCTCCCTTTAAATTTGGTATCTGGTACAATCTTCATTTTAAAGATGGTATGAGGGGGCAGGTAGGTGGTGCAGTGGATAGAGCACCGGCCCTTAAGTCAGGAGGACCTGAGTTCAAATCTGGCCTCAGACTAAACACTTGACACTTACTAGCTTGTGTGATCCTGGGCAAATCACTTAACCCCAATTGCCTAAAAATTTAAAAAATTAATAAATAAGAAATATGGTATGGATGGAGAAGAGAAACATACATTAAAAGCACTTTGAGTACCAGGTACTGTGCTAAATGCTTTATAAATATCTCAATCTGATTCTCACAACATCACTGTAAGACAAGCACTATTATCAGGTGAGAAAACAGGCATAAAGAGGTTAAATAATTTGCCCAGGGTCACACAACTATCAAGTATCTGAGGCCAGATCTAAACTCAGGTCTTCTTGACTCCAGGCCTAGTGTTTCACTACTCCATTTAGCTTCCTGGTGGAAGAGATAAAGCAATTTGTTCAAGTTCACACTAGCAGAAATACAGCAGAAATCATCTGAAATGAACTGAAATAACTCTCAAGACTCTAAGTATTTTCTGGCCATATCAACCACAAACCAGGCCACTTCTACAAGGCCTTCATTACCACCTCCTCCCTCTCCATCACTGAAAACTTGAGTTCTACATGGGCCCTGATAGAGCTTCTAATTTAGCTTGCCTGAAACCAAGACACCCAAGTTACTTCCTGGCTACTCGCTACAAATCTTCTTTCCACTCTCCATTCCAAATACTTCTTTCCCTACTTCCCTTTTCTTCATCTGCGGTTTTCTTCCCCCAGTAAAATTTTTCTTGCCTTGCTCCTTGAGAGCAGAGACTGTCTTGAATCCCTAACCTTAGCAGAGCTGCTTGTTAATTAATGCCTCTTGTACGCCACTAGTGACAGGATCACTATCTAACAGTGTTACTACCCCTCCTTTCACCATTACCCCCAAAATGAGTTAGGCTAGTTTGACCTGAAAGTAAGGGCCTGATTGGCTCAAGGGGCTAAGGTTCAGGCTGCAGCTGGTACCAACAGGCCTCAGCCAGTGTACCACCTCTCGATGATACCTGAATCATAAAACAGGAGCTTGAGAGCAAGAGTGAAGAAAAGATGGGAACGTGTAGTAAGAAAGCCCAGGGATTATCCTGTTACTGCACCACAACATATAATTTCTCTTACAGAGGGAACAGGGCCTAGGTGGGCTTTTACCACGTGGAAAGCAGGAAGGATTCAAGAGCACTTCAAACAGCAACTTAAATGAATCCCTGGAGTAGGCTGCTGAGGTCATGGTCCAGTAGAGCCAGCAGAGAGACACTTTCCACAGCAGAGTTGCATAGGTTTAGGGAGCTCTCCAGGGACTTACTATGGACCTTCAAGGACTGCTGAGTCAGTTATATGCTCCAAATAAAGGCTATCTTTTGGCTTTCTTAAGGTGGCTTACCTAATTACATTTATCGTAGCGGGATCTGCAAGAGAAGGGATGATATTTCTAAAGTAAATGGGTCTGCTAAATTGATTTGATTTACTGGGGGTGAGAGGGTACGCCACATCTGATGACCAGCCTGTCTCAGGGGCAATGAGATCCCTCTTTCTGGGCAGAGTCCTTTTACCACAATAGAACTATTCCGATATGGACTGATCAGCTGCTGAAACTGGGGCAAGAGAGCTGGACAGTGGTAGTCTGGACAAAAACTGCTATCAATGCAAATAGGTACTCTGCAGATTGGGGCATAGAGCTCCTCCTCACCTTCCTAGGTAGGCAAAGGGAGATGACAGTCCCATAAGGTGCTTTGAGAATGGCTCCTGAAACAGAGAGGAGATAAGAAAGCAATTGATGGCCAGCCTGTGGGGGTACTAGCAAAACTATACCATGAAATCCAATACAGGGAAGAAAGAACCCTTCAGCACCATTCAAGCCTAATGAACCTATCCCTGTCCACAAAGGTCCTGCCTCATCTGGATCACCTACATAAAATTACAGAGAATAGATCATGGAGGGAAGGGATACCATGAACTCCTGGGAATCCCCTCACAGAAACCTCTTTGCAGGTTATCGTAGATAGAGATTAAATGCAAACACTTGGACTGACCCACACCACCTTATATATTTAACACCAAACAATATCAGGTCTAATAGGGGAGAAAGATATTTTTTCTCTAGTTACAAGGATGAAGAAAGCTTGATGACTGTTGCGTCAACTCCCTCTTACACTCATCTGTGGCCTATGAGGAAGACAGATGGCACCTGGCGAGCTTATGGAGAATTAAAGAGGCTAAACAAAGTGGTCATGCACATCCCTGAAGCTGTTCCTAACTTTGTCAATGTGATAGGCAAACTAGGTAGCCAAGGCCCGAAGTGAGCAGGATAGGATTACTGACCTTACCAATGGTGGTAATTTTTTCTATTTATATGGCTGAGATTATCCAGGGCAAGTTTGCTTCCACCTGTAAAAGAGCCCCCCCCCCCCCGGCCTACCTGACCTGTCCCTCATAGTCACCGCTCCCTCATGTTGGGAGACAGAGAACCAAAACACGTTTTCCTTCCTGAAGACAGACATATCACAAACTTGATGACATCACGTTGATCAAGATGGATGAGATTACAGACGCAGAGACCATAAACCATTTGCAAAATGGGTCTTACTCTACATACCCCAACCAGCCACACTCCTCTGCACTTCTCCATCATGCCCCAAGAACCTCTTCCTCCTGGCATGACTTTAGGCCTCTTATTCTCTTCAGTATCCTCTAGTCCTAGGGCCCCTACCTCCCTCTGACTGGAGGGTGGAGAATGGGGAATGCTTCCCAGAACCTCCATTTAAGAAGAGCAGGCCAATGGTCTCTTCATTTCCCAGCTGGCTCCACTCCTCTGGACTTCTATAGCATGCCCCTTCACCCAAAGGGGTACCTTCTCACTCCCCTCTGTTTTTCATCTTCCTTTTGAGTGCTATCTATCCCCATTAGATTGTGAGCTCCTTAAGGGCAAGAACTGTCATTTGCCTTTCTCTGTAACCCCAAGCTTAGCACACTGCATGCCACATAGTAGGTACTTAATAAATATTTGGTTGGTTGTTGTCTTTCATTCTGGAAGAGGACCAAAATGACATGACTGGAGTCAAGGTACAGCATGTCCAGCTCTGGCTGATCGCACCAATATGAGCTCAGAAGGCTCTTCCACAGGTCAGGCACAAATAGTCCACATGAACATTTGGAGTAGACATGTCTCTAAATTTGTGCATCTCACATTTCTTTTGAGCTATTACAATTCTGCTTCATTCATAAAGTACAACAAATTCTTTGATGCAGGCATGCCATGCTTGGTGGTCTTTTGCCAATGTCTCCTATATCTCTTGACCAATTCCAAAGTTCTCCAAAGACACCTTGAGAGTGTCCTTGTATTGCTTCTTCTGGCCTCCATGTGAGTGCTTGCCTTCTATGACTTCTCTATAAAACTGTCACTTAGGCAAACATACGCTTGGCATTCAAACAAATGTGGCTAGTCCATAGGAAAAGCACTCTCCACATTAGAGTTTTAATGCTTGGCAGTTCAGCTCAAGAAAGGCTCTCAGCATCAGGAACCTTATGTCTTCAGAATCTTCTTAAGACAATTCAAATGGAAATGATTCCATTTCATGACATGGTGCTGGTAGATTGTCCAGCTTTCACAGGTATATGTGTTCCCCATCATTGTGGCCACTCCAGAAAAATGTATATCCAGCTCTGACTTCAGTAAGATGAACCTTCATTTGCCAGCCTTCTTTCATTCAGGGCTGCTAGCTGGATGAAATACCTGCTGAGTTTTCTCACAACAAGAACTATTTGTCTTTCAAGTCTAATGGATTTCAAATTGTCCATAAAGGTGTGCAAATTTCACATACTGATGATGAACAGAATCATCTTCACAAAAGTTTTTGTTCTATTTTTTTGTGTTTCAAACACATGGCTGGATCCTCAACTTCCACAGCAAGAAACTAGGTTTGAGTGAAGCAGACAATTTTTAGGGTTCCTTTTCCATCCTCTTCCTATATCAGGTGATGAGCAGCATATTTTTAAAAAAGCTGCTCAACTACTGTGCTATAAGAAATGAGGAGGAGGGGCGGAGCCAAGATGGCAGAGTAAAAGCAGTGACTTCCTTGAGCTCTCCCCCAAACCCCTCCAAATACCTACAAAAAATGGCTCTAAACAAATTCTAAAGCAGCAGAACCCACAAAAAGACAAAGTGAAACAAATTTCCAGCCCAAGACAATCTGGATAGTTGATCAGAAAGGTATATGGTGCCGGGCTGGGAGAGGAAGGCAGTTTGGCACGGGCACAGACCAT